CATTGATCTGATGTGATTGATGTTTTCACGTCGGTTCTAGAGGTTGATATTTCTCATCCAAGAGATACCTTCATCCCCACAAGGCCCCATAAAGGTTGCAGAGTGAGGTGACCAGTGCTCTAATGAGCAATAAAGACTCTAGTTAGGACCCGTGCTGGCCGCCATCTTTCTTGGCTAATTTTCAGTGACGTCTGGGCTGAGCCCACAGTGTTGCTGTGTCTCTCCACGTCTCACCCAGAGCCTGCTCATGCATGGCAGGGCCAAGGGTCATGCTTTCTCTTTTCCTGTTTAACTTTCAAAGACTGTCTCTGTTTGAAGTTCTTTTTCCTGCTAGAGCAACACCAAAACGTTCTCCGGGGTCTTTTTAGAACAACAGCAATACTTCACCACGAAGAGTGGCATGTGTGGACAGCAGCACAGGCACATAGGAAGCACTGAGCTCAGTGACCTGGAACTTCTCCGACCCCTCCTCTGTTCTCCTACTACAGCCCCCAAAGGTCAGTTGTTTCCTGGTGGGAAACCTGATAACTCAAGATCACTTCATATTTTTTAGTTAGTTAATTAATTTTTAAAATTTCTTTTTATTTTACATTGGTTTGCACACAAAATTTGTATACACTGTGTTGTATTAACATACATTGTGTTTCACACATTTGTTTTCTCCTACTAGTTTATTTACAAAATTCAAAAACAAATTATTTCAATTTCCCTCAACCCGCCCCCCCCCATCATATTGTACAACCCAATGATTCATCTCCCCCTCCCCCTGTACATCCCATCCCATCCCTCTGCTTCCAGCCTCTTCCACCCCTCCTGGGTCCTTAAGCTGATTCTACAATAATGGTTTTATACCATATTTATCCTTGTGGGACTGAGTCAGTTCACTCAGCATAATGCTCTCCAGTCTCTCCCAAGTTAGGTAGTAATTTACAAAGTTATTGCTCCTAAGTGCTGCATAGTATTCCATTGTGTGAATGAACCATAATTTCTCAATCCATATTTTAGATATCAATCAAGTAACATTTTCACATTGTTACTTCTAATTTATTTTATTCTTCTTAATTAATGATGTATCTTAACCATTAACTAATAACTCAAATTTAATTAATAGGTAACTTTGAATTGTCTTATCAACACATTTAAAAATGTTGCAAAGAGCATCCCTTCACATATAACTCTCTGAATTTTATGTGTGGAATAAGCATCTAAACATGGGGTTGCTGACCAAACAGAAGACAGAGAGGTTGATAGGCAGCTAAATTTCCATGTGATTAAAAAAAAACAAAAACAAACAGCTTCTCTGTTTGCTTTGTGTACTATTCTAGCAGGTTGATTAATGATTATAACATGCTTCTAATCAATAGGGGTAAAGAGAATGTGCGTGTACATGGGGTCCATGGATGTGTAATAGTGCACGGAAAAGGTCTGAACAGATTTCAGAACTTAATGACTAGAGTTACTTCTGATGAGTAATTAAAAAGTGTTTGGATGTGTTTTCTTTTCTCTGTCATCTTCTGTTATTTTTGCCCTCTCAAAACAGATGAAAGAAAAACATAAATGCTTCTCAGGAAGAGATGGGCTTATAGATAGGCTGGAGAGTCATAAAGAGTTATGACAATCTGTCTTGTTACCTTGCTTGTGGCATCAGGAAGAAGTTAACCGTATCACCATTAACCAAAATCACTACCAAGTTGACAACAACTCACAGTGACCATATGAACCACAGACGTGGACCTTGTCCTGTTTCCATCCTCACAGTCGATGATAAGCTGAAGGCCATTGTCTCAGTCCCTGTGTCCATCCACCTTCTTGTGGGTCTTCCCCTCCACCTCTAACCCTCCACCTTTCCAGGCAGGATGTCTTTTCCCAAACACTGGCCCTTCCTCCCAACATGCTCGAAGCATATAAGATCAAGTTCCTCCATGCTTGCTCTGAAGAGCACCTTGCCTGAACCTCCTCCCAGCCAGACTGCTTGTTCTTCTGGCAGTCCATGTGACGTTCAGTGCTCTTCTCCAGCACCACAGTTCAAATGAAGCATTTCTTCCTTCGTCTTCCTTATTCATTATGCAACTTTCATATTTATTTACCAAGCTTGGGTCAGGCGTACTTTTAAACAAATAGCCTTGTTATCTGGAACTTTAAAGAACTCTCTGACAGCAGATTTGCCCAATGGAACATGTCTTGATTTTTTTGATGGCTGCTACCATGAGTTTTGATTGTGGATCCAAGCAAGATGAAATCATTTACAACTTCAGTCTTTACATCTATCTATCATCTATCTATCTATCTATCTATCATCTATCTATCTATCTATCTATCTATCTATCTATCTATCTATCATGATGTTGACTATTGGTCCAATGGTGAGGATTTTTGTTTTCTTGACATTAAAATGTAGTTCTTATGGAAAGATTCAGTCTTTGACCTTCTGCCGTAACTGCTTCAAATCTTCTTCACTTTCTGCAAGCAAGCAAGACTGTCATTTGCTTAACATAGGTGGTTGATGAGTCTTCCTCCAGTCCTGATGACAGATTCTTTCTCACACGGACCATTCAAATGTGGGGTGTCTGTGCCCACCTAGGGCATTGAATTGTTTGCTAATAAGGTAAATAAGATACACGGCACCTGAGGTGGAGGCATGCGAATAGGATATGTAGAACATTAACGTGAGGACTGGTTTCTCGTATTCTGCCAGGCTTAAACAGAACCATCGAGAGGCGGGAAATGTGTCTCACTGCCATTGTGAAGGATGTCTGAGCATTTCCTTTGGACTTGAGAACCTTGTGATGAAACTGGAGACTCAGAAGACAGAGAGCTGTAACAGCTGCATGACAATGGGTACCTGGCAGAGACACACCTGCAGGTGAACCGGAGACTGAGGTGTGGAGCAAGGACATGCGGACTGTCTCTGGGGCAGGAGGCCTTTGGTGGGGGTGGTGCATCGGGCAGTCGCCAGATTGGCTCCTATGCGGCTAGAACTTAGTGCCTTTGGGCTCAGTGGAGTGGGGCGTCCTGAACCAAGGAGCTTAAGACCCCTGTCAGAGTGGACAGGGGCCACGACTAAGGACCAGAGAGGCCTGCTTGTGCGCATACCTGTGCGCATACCTCGCACTCCAGAACTGTTCTCTTGAGCTGTGGCGTATCCTGACCGTGGCTCACTGACTGGTGTACTGACTGAGAGCTCTGCATGGCTCGGGATTACCCGCAGAGAAGGGGTGAGTGCCGTTCAGAGGGAAGTTGGTTTTAGAATTGGTGGAAGGATTTGGAGGCTGGTGGCAGCATGTCTGCCTCAACAAGAACTGGCTCCTGCTGTTGTGTTGATAGGGAGCCTTCCCTGAGAAGTTACAGGAGGGCGCACTCACCAACTGCAGGCTTCAGGCTTCAGCGTTTGCACACCTGGGGAGGCTCCGGGCATGGAATCAGCCCACACCTGGGGGATGCTCCGCCTCCGACCTCTCAAGGATGGGGCTAAAGGGACCTCAGATTCCTTCAGGAGAAGGAGCAGAAAAGCAGCTGGGGGCGCGTTAAGTGAGGGGCCAGTGCTTCCGTACTGCTGCCCCACCTCACGGACACAGGTACTTTAACTGCTGAGAGGTCAGGGGGTGAGGCTCCAGAGGGAAGTGCCACGTGCTGCCACGCTGGACTGATTCAAGAGTGACAGCGGGACAGAGAGGTGCCAGGTGGCCAGGTGTGTTCGTTCACAGGAGAGTCCGCGGCATGAATCTGGGCCATGGGCCCTCAGGTCCTGGGGAAAGGCCAACAGAAGCTGAATTCCAGAGGCTGGAGTCGTCCTAGGCAAGGAGATGGGGAGGTGGGGGAGGAAGGGGCGCACGCACTGGGCAGGGGTGGGGAAGGGAAGCAGAGTACCCAAAACCCTAGACAGAAATTCAGTAAAACAAAGCAGGTGGGTGACCCGCTCCTGCAGGGAGGAAGGCTGGAGGACTTCACCCCAGGACACAGAACCTGAGTGGTCACAGGCCGGGTTGAGTGAGTGAAATGGTTCTTTAAAGAGATATACTGGAACGTGTATTTTTTTCTCAGGAAAACATCTATGCCCAGGGCAGCCCCAAGGGGCACCCAAGGCTCCTCACGTCCACTCAGCCCTCAGGAGAGGTGGACGGTGGAGGGGGGCAGCGGAGAAGCAGAGCAGCGGGGCAGGGGCGGGGGGGGCTGAGGCCCCTGGACGCTGTCTCCCCGCCCAGGTTCCCTGCTGGGCACGGGCAACATCCAGGCCAGTGCCGCTTGCCTGCGGCCCACCCTGGATGGACACCCTTCGATGCCCAGTACCAGTCTATTCATGTCTACTGACAGCCCTCCTGGTGACCTGGCCCTTTCAGCACCCTAAAACACCTCCACCAGGTGCCTTCCTGGCGGGGACGCAGTTCTGCTTGGCTATGTGACCCTGGTGGTGCCAGGTACATGGGCACACTCCCTCACAGCACGTGGGCCTGGGGGAAGAAGACAGGGAGGGATGGAGGGAGGTACAGGAGAGGGTGAGAGACGGAGGAGGGGTCCACACGCTCTCTCTCAGCCCTGTTCCCCTAACCCCCCAACTCTCCACTTCCTGCCCAAGTCCCCCTCAGGTGGCTGAGTCCAGAAGGGAAGTCCCATGGACTGGGAGGGTGGGTCCAGACAAGGGGGCAGACCCAACGCCTTATGCGGGGGGCGGATCCAAAGCAGGAGGCGGCCCTCAAGAGAAAAGGGACACAGCACCCCCTTCACCCTGGTCCTCCTCAGAGCCTCCATGTGGGGAAGCCCCACTGAGGCTGCCTTGCCAGGTGGGTGCGGGCTGACGCCCTGCCCCCTTCTAGGCCTCCACCGAGGGGCTTGTTGAGAAGTGATGGGACAGTCTGCTTTCACAGCTGTGTGAGGTGAGGAGGGAGGAAGTGGGGAAACTGAGGTGGAGAGGAGGCAGATGGGGAGTGTGATCGGGCAATCAGTCTCCTTGGGATTAGATCCAGCTGAGGAACCCCAGGCTGCTCCAGAAGGCATCTGGCTCCATGCACAGGGTGGGAATGCCCCTGGGCGCCCACTACCCTGAACTCAGATCCAGAGTAGACACCGAGACCCCCTACTCGGGCATTGAGGAGGGGGCTCCACATGTGGTGTCCACATTGCAGTGAGTGGAATGTGAGGTCACCAGGAAGAGAGCGAAAGGACAATGCTGTGTCCTCTCAGCCCTCCCCATGCCAGATGAGCAGACCTTGGACCCAGACCTCCTGACTCACAGAATCCCACCAGGAGGAGAACTGGCCCTTGCTGTGCAGACAATGATGGCCAGGGGTTTTCTAGGGAACTACTTAGAAAGAACTAGAGAGGCCACGTTGATATTGACCTTGAAAACCAAAGCTCAGGGTGCCATGGTGGCTCGCCGGGAGCACCACGCTCTGGTCTCAGGCATCCTGTCACTTCCTATCTCTCGGCCTAACTGGCCAGGGCCATAGACCCCGGCCCACCTCAGATCCATGCCCAGCACCCCACACCCTCGTTCTCCTTCCATCCACACTGCCTGTCTTCAACAACTGCCTTCTGCTCTCCTGGTCTCCACACAACCACTCCTTGCCATTCTTCCCAGCATCTAGGGTCCATCTTGATAAATTCTGCACAGTGAGGCTTTACCAGTCAATCTTGAGCACTCCCTCCAGTCTGACATGTACTTTATTTCTGTATAGTAATACATAATTATTAATTAATATTAATTAATTAATATAAAGCAATGTATAGTAATTGTGTGGTGTGTCCTCTAAACTGTTGGGTTACAAAGCTCTTTGCTCAGACATGTCAGGTTCTTTTTTTAAATTTTTCTACTAGTTTAATTACAAAATTCAAATACAAATTTGAACAAATTCTTTCAATTTCCCTCACCCCCCCCCATCAAATTATATAACTCAATGATTAATCCCCCCTTTCCCCTGCACATCCACATCCCTTTGCTTCCAGCCTCTCCCACCCCTCCTGGATCCTTATAGTCTTTCCACAATAATGTTTTTATACAATATTTATCCTTCCATGACTGAGTTAGTTCACTCAGTGTAATGCTCTCCAGTCCCTCCCAAGTTAGGTAATAATTTACAAAGTTATTGCTCCTGTGTGCTGCATAGAAATGTCAGATAGCCCTTGTGTGTTGTCACCGCAGTGCTGGAGGACAACTTTCTGAATGAATGTATAAAAACTTGGACTTTCTTACTCCTTCTCTTTGTTCCCACCACACCATGTTTCTGCAGAAGTCAAGCAGCCATGGTGATTCCCGCTGCTACATTCCAGGCCCTCATGAACGGGGTGACAAGCTGGCATGTCCCTGAAGATGCGGTCCCCTGCGAACTGCTTCTGGTTGGAGACTCTGCCTTCCCAGTGATGGTCAACGACAAGGGCCAGGTCCTCATCGCTGCCTCCTCCTATGGCCATGGCCGCCTGGTGGTGGTGGCCCACGAGGGCTACCTGACGGATGCTGGGTTTGCTGCATTCCTTGTCAACGCCGTGCGCTGGCTCTGCCTCACCCCTGGGACTCCTGTTGGTGTGCATCCGTCCCTGGGGCCCCTACTCAGCATCCTTCAGGAATCTGGGCTCCACGCCCAGGTTGAGGAGCAACCAAGAGAGCCCTTGGGGGCTTACTGCATCAGTGCCTACCACGGCACCATGGCGGAGCAGCTGGTCCAGTTTGTGAAGCGTGGAGGGGGCCTGCTCATCGGGGGCCAAGCCTGGCACTGGGCCAGCCAGCATGGCCGTGACAAGGTGCTGTCTGAGTTCCCTGGGAACCAGGTGACCAGTGTGGCCGGAGTGTACTTCACTGACACCTATGGGGACAAACAGTGCTTTGTAGTCTCTAAGGAAGTACCTGAAATCCCACTTCAAGTCAGGTGAGTGGTGTGCCCCTCATGGGAATTGGGATTGGTGTTAAAGTAGATGTGTCCTCTCCCCACGGAGCGAGCGTCCATATGAACACAAGGGTTTCCACTTCAGTGTTGGAATCGGCCCAGGCTAAGCCAGCATCATTCAGAAGCACTGGCATGCAAGAGGCCCTGTCTCACCCCAGGCCTCTCCTACGGCCACAGCAAACTTCAGGTCAGTTGTTGTTGTTGTTGTTGTTGATTGCTGTCAAGTTGAGCACGACTCATAGCAACCCTATGAACAAAAGACCCAGACCCTGCTCTGTAGCTATCATTGTTTCTCTAAGTTCATAGAGATCACAGATTCAGGTCCACAGACGTGTCCTGCTCCCCACTGCCTCTCCCAGAGCCTGGTGTCTGCACCATATTGTTGTTGAGCTGCCAGTGAGTCAACTCCAGGTCAGAGGAGGACAGAGCAAACACACTGCCCGTCCTGGGCCGTCTTCGTGGTGACTGGGCTTTGTGTCCATTGCTGTGGCTAGGGTGCCAGTCCACACCAATGAAGGTTACCTCGTCTTCGCCCTCCACTTGACCAGTCCCGATGTCCTGCTCTAACTCCTGAGCTTCCCTGATGACATGTCCACAGGAAGTGGATTGAAGTCTTGCCACCCTGACTTCTAAGTAGCATTCTGGCGATATTTCTAGGAAGATGCATTTTCTGTAGACAGTCCTTGGATGTTCAACATTCCTCACCAACACCGAAATGAAAGGCATACATTGAAGTTGTCACATTTCACACAAATGAACATGTAAATAGCCTTTGGTAGTATTTTCATTTTCACAATATTGAGTCTTCCTTTCCATGAGCAAAATATACTCTTCCATTTCTCCAGGTCTCTTTTTGTTTCTTGTAGTAATGATTTGTCATTTTCTTTGAATAGAACTTTTGTGCTTCTGGTTAGATTTGCTCCCAAGTATTTAATCGTGTGATTAGCCATTGTGAAGTGTATTTTTCTTAGCTCTAACTCTGTATTCTCATTGGTCCTGTAAAGAAATACAATTGATTTTTGTATGTTGATGTTGTATCCTGTCACTTTGATGAATTGATCAACTATGTCTGGTAGTTTTCTTGCCGAGTCTTTATGGTTTTCTAAGTATACTATGATTTCATATGCATATAGAGATAATTTTACCTCCTCTTTGCCAATTTGGATACCTCTTATTTCCTTCTTTTGTTTTATTGCTATCACTATGACTTCCCATACAATATTGAATAGGAGAGGTTATGGTGGGCATCCTTGCCTAATTCCTGTTCTCTCCATTGACAGTGTTGGCTCTTGGGTGTGCGTACATACATTTTACTATGTTGAAGAAATTCCCCTCTAATCCTATTTTGTTGAGTGTTTTAATCAGGAAAGGGTGTTGGATTATGTCAAAGGCCTTTTCTGCATCAATTAATGGGCTCATGTAGTTCTTGTTCTTTACTTTGTTAATGTGATGAATTACACTGAATGTTTTTCTTATGTTGAACCATTCTTGCATACCTGTTATGAATCCCACTTTGTCATGGCAAATTATTTCTTTGATGTATTGTTGGCTTCTATCGGCCAGTATTTTATTCAGGATTTTTGCATCTATGTTCATAAGAGATATTGGCCTATAGTTTTCTATTTTGGTGGTGTCTCTTCCTGGCTTTGGTATCAAGGATATGTTTGCTTCAAAGAAGGAGTGTGGGAGAATTCCATCCTTTTCTATTTTCTGAAATAGTTTATGTAGAATTGGTGACAGTTCTCTGAATGTGTGAAAAAGTTCGCTTGTAAAACCATCTGGTCCAGGACATTTTTTTGGCTGGAAGTTGTTTTATTACCTTTTCAATTTCTTCTTTTGCAATGGGTCTGTTCACATGTTCAGTTTCGGTTTGTGTCAGTTTAGGTAGGTTGTGAATTTCTAAGTATTTGCCCATTTCCCCTAGGTTTTCATATTTGTTTTTCATACTATTCCAATTTTAGCCTTTTTATTTTAGTTCGTTCTGTTATGATGTTGCCCGTTTCATCTCTTATTTTGATTATTTGTCTTTTCCTTTGTTAGTTTTGTCAGTGGTTTGTCGAGTTTATTGACTTTTTTAAAAGAACCAACTCCTAGTTGTGTTGTTGGTTTCAATTGTTTTTTGGTTTTCTATTTCATTTATTTTTGCTTCAATTTTTATCATTTCCTTTTTTTCAAGGGTGTCAGGTTTTCTTGCTGTTCTTTTTCAATTTGTTGGAGATGTTGAGTTAGAGAGTCAATGGTCATTTTTTCCTACCTTTTGATGGGTTTGCTTTTTGCTATAAATTGACCTCTGATTACTGCTTTGGCTGTTTCCCAGAGATTTTTTTTTTTTTTTGGTAATTGGTGTTTTTATTGTCATTTGTTTCAAGAAATTCTTTTTAATTTCATTTTTTTTATTTCTTCCAGTACCCACTCATGTTTAAGCAAGGTGTTGTTCAGCTTCCAAATGGGTTTTTTTTTCTTTATCCTCTTGTTATTAATTTCTAATTTTGTAGCATTGTGGTCTGAGAAGAGGCTTTGTAATATTTCTATGTTTTTTAATTTATTGATGCTTGCCTTGTGGCCTAAAATGTGATTTATTCTGGAGAATGTTCCATGCACTTTGGAGAATATGGTATACTGTGCTTTTTTGGGGTGCATTAACCTATAAATACCTATGAGATTGAGTTGGTTTAGTGTATGGTTTATTTCTTCAGTATCTTTGTTGAGTTTCTTTCTGGTAGTTCTATCTTTTCTTGAGAATGGTGCATTGAAGTTTCCAACTACTATAATGGTGTTGTCTGTTTCCTTTTTCAGTTTTTTTAATGTTTGTTTTATATATTTTGCTGGTCTTTCATTTGGTGCATAGATACTTGTTATTGTTATGTCTTCTTGTTCTATTGACTCTTTAAGCATTATGTAGTGACCTTCTTTGTCCTTTGTGATGGTTTTTGCATAGAAATTTATTTTATCAGAGATTAATATTGCTACTCTTGCTTTTTTCTGGTTGCCATTTGCTAGGTATATTTTTCCCCATCCTTTTATTTTTAATCTTTCTATATCTTCATTTTTCAGGTGTGTCTCTTGAATACAGCATATTGATGGATTTTTTTTAATCCAATCTGCTACTCTCTTTCTCTTCAGTTGTGCATTTAAACCATCCACATTCAGTGTGATTCTTGAGAGGCAAGGTTTTGTTGCTATCATTATGTTCTTTTTGGTGTTGTTGCTAGTTACTTTGGTCCATCTTGCTTTCTGTGGCACCTCTGTAAGGAGGACGTCTATCAGTGTTTCCTGCAATGCTGGTATTTTTACAAACTCCTTTAAGTTCTGTTTTTCTGGGAATATCTTGATCTCTCCTTCATATGTGTTGGACAGTTTTGCTGGGTACAATATTCTTGGTTGACAGTTGTGTTCCTTGAGTGTTTGCTATATGTCATTCCATTGTCTTCTTGCTCACATGGTTTCTGCTGAGAAACTGGTACTGAATCTTATCTCTTCTCCCTTCTAGGTTATTCTTTGTTTCTCCCTTGCTGCTCTCAGAATTCTCTCCTTATCTTTGTTTCTGGCAAATATGACTATAATATGCTTTGGTATTTTTCTTTTGGAGTCTATTCTATATAGTGTTTGCTTGGCTTCTTGAATATCTATTCTCTCATTCTTCATTATACCTGGGAAATTTTCTTCTAGTAATTCTTCCACCACTTTTTTGGTGCCTTTATTTGTTTCTTCCTGTTCTGGTACTCTGATGATGTTCATGTTATTTCTCTTCATAGTGTCCTACATTATTCTTAGGTATTCTTCTTTTTCCTTCCTTTTTGATTCTGCTTTTTATTTCACTGGTACTGTGTTCCATCTCCTCAACTCTGTTCATGTGTCTCTCCATCATGTTGACAGCATCTGAAACGTTGGACCTCATTTTTTGGATCATGGTTTCTTATTTTTCCAGTGCCTCTAATGCCTACTAACTTTATCTGCATTGTTTTGAATTTTTTTAAAGTTCCTCCTGATTTTTGCTTGCAGTTTCCTTTAATTCTTCAAGCTTGTCTATCACCCATAGAAAATATTCAATCATTGTTCTTTTAAATTCTGTGTCATAAAGTTCCCTCAGATTTTCTGGATTCAGGAAATGCATTTCTATTGTGTCATTTGGAGGTGGGGTGTGTGTGTGATATCTTGCTTTGGGCTCATGTAGGCTGTGAGGTAGCATGCGTCCTTCATGACATTGCTGTGGTAGAGTTCTCTGTGCCTGCGGCACTAGCCAGTTCTTTATCTGATGTCATTACTACAGAAGAAGGCTGGTCAGGTGTACAAGCACATGCATGCAGGGTGAGCACACACACAGATGCACATAGGGTGGGCACATGCACAGATGCACACTGGGGTGGAGAGGGGGACACACATGGAAACTCATGCATGGAGGCTGTGTGCAGGAGGGGGGACCTGAATGGAAAACCAGGAAGCCTTAGTTTTTCCCTTAGGAACTGGGTCTGCCACCCAGTTGAGCTCCAGCTGTCTCACTCCCTCCTGTTTAGGGTGAAAGGGTCCCACAATTGGTCCAGCCATCAACAGTGATTCCCCCCTAAGTACCTCACTCAAATTCCCACTGTCCTACTTGCTCCAGCTGGGTGGGTCCACCTGCGATTCACTGCACCCCCCTGAGCCTCGCTGCTCCCCACTGAGGCTTGCTTCTCCCTGCTGAGGTTCACTGCTCCCCACTGAAGCTTGCTGCTTCCTTCTGAGGCTCCCAAATGAATTATTTTAATAGTTCCCACTCAAATTCCATGTGTCCTGCTTGCTCAGCTCTGTCTTTGCTCCAAAATTTTATAGAAAAGTTGGACTTTCATTCATTCAGTCAGTCATTGTTTCACATTTTCCACTCTATTCTGCCCCAGTTTACTTTTGTTTTAAAAATATTAATTGTTGCACAATTTCCTCCCTCCCTCTAACCTTTCACCAGTCCACTTGGCAGTGCACATCTTATTCTGGACTGTTGTCATACAAATA